CAAGGAAGGGTACACAGCAGACATTCAGAGTCCCTGGGAGTAACATCCATCTGGATAAAGAGTGGGTCAGCATTCCAATGAGAGGAATATAAAATGAGGTGGGCTGCTGTGTGTGGTAGATCCCTAGCAGAAACATTTTTTTTTTTAGGTCAAACGAAATCTGGTATTAGACTAATGATTCAGGGGCCACTAGACATAAAGACACTGGTATCCTCACCAGGTTTCCAAGGATCTTGAATTTGTCCCTGTAGAGCCAGAGGGTGACCATATGAATAAACCAGTGAATGAATGAGAAAGCTTTCCCAGGCCAAATGTTTAAATGTATATTTCCCCCAGGGAAGCAAGAAAGAAAAGCTTGGGGGGGGGGGAGGGAGTCTGAAAGCTGATTGGGGCTTTCACCCAAAAGTCGATTTGATCTGGGCCAGTGGTTCTCAAACTTTATAGTACCTCATATTCACCTGGAGGACTTATTTAAATCCAATTTGCTGGGTTCGCTCCCATTTCTGATTCATTAGGTGAGGCAATACATTTGGCTTCTCTCGGAAACTCCATGCGATGCTAATAGACCACACCGTGGAGAACTAGAAATGCCTAGGCTGTCTTCCGGCCAGCATTTTCAAAAACAAAAGTCAGAAGCAGGAGAGAGCGGCTGGGGTCCAGCCAGGAGGATTGGAACTCACGGGAAATCAAGACTTCCGTTTTAATTTCCATCGTCCATTTTAGCATTGGAAAGCTAGTGCTAACACACAGGCACACACACATGGAGGGAGGGATGGAGGGAGGGAGGGAGAGAGAGGGGGGAGACCTTAAGTCTGATAAAGCGCACAGGTTCCCAGCTGCTGTCTCTTTTCAGGCCATGATAGCTCATCTGGTTCCACAAGAGACACAGCCTTCTGGAATGCTCCCAGCTCTCAACCTCTGCTGCCTACCTAGTTGCAGACCCTGACCAGGTTGGCACCAAGAATTGCAAGCTGTCCTTGGCTACTCTCCCACCTAGGAGTTGACCGGGCTCTTTACATGCAGGGAAACTGTAGGAGATCCACCATCCTGGGACACTAGGAGTCCAAAGCCTTACAAGTCACCGTGCATCCTGGGAACCACGCTTCCGTTGCACTGGTCTTGAAACACAAAACCAACTGCTGCGGGTCTTGCCCACGATTTGTGCGAGCCCGCCCACTGTTCCACAGGTTCTAAGCCCTCCCCCCACCCTGCCCCAGATTGTGAGACCTACTCTAGTTGACAGAAGAGCATTGTCTTCACTCTGATCCTGGTGGCAGGTCTCTGGGACAGCTTTGCTTTTAGCTCTGAACTTGAGGATCCAAACACATACTGGACCAGAGCCCTGGGTCTGACCTCCCCACGCCCCCTCCCCGCCTTCAGGCTTGGTCACGAAGCTTTCCCTGGGAGTCCATATTAGGCCAAGCTGCTCCCCCCTTCCGTGTGACTTGGTGTCTCTCACATTGGTCGTCAGAGTGTGTATTCTGCATACCCCGGTGGGATGAAGCTAAGTGAAGAGCGCAGACACAAGGAGGGTACCCTTGAGTACCGAAAGCCCTCCTCACATCTCTTGAATGGGAATGGTCCAGCAAAAGGGCGCCTGGAACTAGTCAATCAAGCCTGTCTTGGGATAGCCAGGGCGAGCACCCATGGCTGGGGTGTTAGCTGTCTGCTGTACACACTACTATCCCTCCCCTACGAAGGGGCTCGGGGTTCAAACCAAGGGAAGCAAGGGGTGAGCGAGATCGCTGGAGGCCGCACACTCACGCCCTGGCGCCCACGCCGCGACGCGTTCGGCGTGCGCCTCCAGGGGGCGCTGCGGCCCTTCTAGCGGGCTGTGGAGCCACAGCCTGGCCCGGAGCGCTCTCCTGCCTTGTCCCCATGGAGAGCCCGGGACCCAGCCACACTTCCTTAGGAGATGGAAGTCTTAATCCTGGCCCCTACCTCTGCACCCTCAACTCCGCGACTAAGGTGTGCCAGCCTCGCTGCTCCCCTGGCCCCCTGGCTGCCCTGTGACTGGAGCGCGTGCAAAACACAGCGAGAAGGTCTCAGGCTCCGCAGAGACTGGGGAAAGCCAAGGGACCTGGGAACCGACCCTCAGAGGGGTCCTGGGGTGGGGGGGGGGAGATGAGCTCTCGATAGTTTGATTTCAAAACGGTGCAAGTTACTTAGCATGCTCGCGGCGCGAGCAGCCAACTCCAGGGAGTCTGTGTGTGACACCTGCTGGCTGCACCCGCAGACTCCTGGGTGGGCTGGGGGGTTTGCACTGCACACCACTCCCAGCTCCCCGGAGTTTTCCTGCGCTAGGCCTTGTCTCTCCCTCCCATGGCGTAAACGTGGCTGTTGGATTTGGGGTGGCATCCTCAAAGCCCGCTCCGGATCAGTGTGCTAGCCGTTTCCCACCGCCGTAAACCACCACCCCCTTGTCGAAAGCCCAGGGCTCATGGGGACAGCAGCAGCGAGAATTCCCAAATGAACAAACATCTGAGCTCCGGGGCGAGCTGGGACAGCTCCGCGGAGACTCAGACCTGGGGGCACAGCTGGTCCGCCGCTGACTCCGGGACCTCAGCTGCTGCACGCCTGGACCCCACAGCTGGTTGGTAGCCGGGTGGGCCAGTTTGTTTGTTTGTTTGTTTGTTTTTTTCTGCACCCGGAATTGTTGAGGGTCTAGCTGGCGAGCGAGCGACTCTTGGGCGAGCTCTTTCAGCCAGTGCGCCCCAGACCCTGACCGAGACTTGGGGCCCCCAGGGTCTGAGCACCCCGAAGTTCCCGTGAGGGTTCCAGGTGAGCGCCCGGCGGCCTGGAGGGGTGCGGCGGTGCTGAGCCGCGCTCGGCTGCAGGCTCGGCTGGTTGCACCTGCCCATCCCGGCGGCCGCAGGGCCGCAGGCCTTGGGGCTTTCCAGGCCGCGCAGTCGCGCGCTCCAAGGTGCGAGCTCTGGGATACCTCCCTACCTTCCCAGCCAAGGCAGGGTTGGGGCTGCGGTGGGCGAGGTAAACATATTTACAGTAAAACCCTGGCTCCGGAGGTTTTTGGGGGAGCGGGTACAGCCGGTGGGAAATCGGAAATTCTGTCTATCCCAGGGGAAAAGCGGGAGGAGCGGTACCCAGGGCACACCGGGCGTGAAGGTGCGAAGCCGCTTTCTTTTTAGTGAAAAGGAGGCCCACGAAGCACAGGCTCGGTGCTCAGGTCACCACCCGGTGCGTGTACGTCCTGGGGGAGGAGAGGGGGGGTGTTCTGAATAAAGAGAAAGTCCCCTCCAGTTCTCCAAATTGAGAAAGGCTGTGGAAGGAATGAGGTGGTTGGAGAGAGGGAACCGCAGGCATCCTGGGAGCTGAGGCTCGGGACCAAGCGCTAAAATGAAAGCACCCTATGCAACCCACTCGGGAAAGCGTTTTTTTTTTAACACTCCCCACCTTCCCCGGACTCTAAGAGGCGTTCTACTCCCAAGCGGTTCTCCTAATTTATTCTAAAGTAGTTAAACCCTGCAGGATTCTGAACAACACCGAGCCTCTCCGTCCCATCTCACTGTGTAAATCCCTGCAAACCTAAAAATGGAAAGAAAAAGAAGCGGGGATGGGTGGGAGGAGAACCTGCTGCTCCTGAATTTTATGTTTTACCAAAGAAACGAAAATGTATATTCACCTCGACAAAAAAAATAAAACAAAAAGGCTTTTTGCCTTAACCTGAGATGGTTGTGCGTGGCGCCTGCCTGCGTCCTCTGCTTAGCCTTTGACGGGCCCCTTAGCAGCTCTGCTTACTTCTGTCCTCTTCCCCCACCGTAGCTGGGGCGACTGCAACTGTCCTTTGAGAAGGATGACCGACAAGCATCTTTCGGCCGAAGGCTTTTGAAGTGCACAGTTTCTTTAAAAAAGATCCACGCTCCTCCAAGCACCCGGTGCCCTCCTCCAGTGACTTGGGGACCTAGGACGGTTTGCTTAGTTCAGTTCAGGGGGGCATCGCGTCTGAAAATGAAGCTGTTTGGCGTGTGGGTTCCTGTCATTCCCTGTCACTCCATTCCAGAGGGGCTGGAGTGACTTGTCATTTACACACTGCTGCTCACCACGTTAAGTAAGCCTTTAGGAGAGCCGGGAAGCCTAACACTGCACGTCAAATTCGATTAATTTTGCTGGCGGCTGAACAATGAACTCAATTTTTTTTTTTTGCTGAGAATGGAGATAAATGCGTGTTTTGAGACGCTGGGATAGTATTTTCCTAAAATTTAAAAATGATTGTTCTTCACCCATTACAGATGTTTTTTTTTTCCTTAATTGTTTGCCAATGGATCGCAGATGCCCACTCCTTTAACCAAGTTGGTTAACTGCCTATGAAATGTACATTAGCTGATTAAAGCTTTAGCTATTGGAAGGAATTTCTTCTGGAACGTTCCACATGTCTCGGCCACTAATTATGAAATTAGTCAATTGTCACTTCCATAAGCAAAACTTTGCTTTTTTTTTTTTTGAAAAACAGCGGAGGAAAACAGATTACGCGTATGGCCGTAATTGATCAAAAGTATGGACAGGGAACCATTTTTACACTGGGGGAAGGGCGGTACATTCTGGAGAACAAAATCTAGGACTGGTTGCTTTGGTCCTTTGAAGCGGATGATGGCCACAGGACCGTGCTAAGGCGAGGAGATAAAGCCGGGCGAGTTAAACAAAGCAAAAGTGCAAAACGCAAGGGGCCCTTTGGACTTCTGAGGACTCCGAAAAGCCAAGACCAAGTAGTTGAGCTTCCAACAGAGTATAGAAAAGTGTCGAGGAGAGTGGGCGTCGTCTTCGTGTGTGAGATCTGAATTGAGTCACCTTGGGCTCCCTGTCCGGGTTAACCGGGAAACCTCAGGCAAACCTGCTCCTTTAAGACTCAGTTGCTATCCAAACACAAGTAAACAGAGTGGACCATTAGCGGGCGCCGGGCGTGGAGGCGGAGCCTGGGTGCAGCGGCCCCTCTCCAGTGCAGGACGCCCGCCGAGAGGGGAGGCGGGGCCGCTACTAAAGCCTTGGACTCCCGGCCGGGGGCAGCCTGGGGCGGGACGCGGGCTGGGACGGAGCTCAGCGCGCTCGCTGCCGGAGGGTGATGGCCCTGCAGGGCTGCGGGCTCCGACTTTACCCGCAGTCAGCGGCGAGAAAGCGGCCCAGGCGCGGCGGTCTGGGCGAGCGCTGAGCACCCATTCAGAGCAGGCTCGCTCGTTACACATCCCGCTCGCCGCGGACCGAGGAAGACCGCGATCCGCCCTCGCTTCGCGCGCCTAGATCATGTCCTCCGCTCCCGGGACTGCGCGCGGAAAAAGAAGCTCGCCCAGCTCGGACTTCATGACCCTTCCAAGCTGTGCGCCCTGCTGCCCGGACCTAGTCTGAACCGCGCTACCCAGACCGACCTCGGCGCTGGCGGTGAGTGTCTCCGGGGGCCCGGCTGTAGCTGTTCTAAGGAAGAAAGGCAGGGATGTGGGGGGCTCAAGGGGTGCCCAGGTTCTGTCTGGAGTGCCCCAAGTTCAGAGAAGGAAAAGCACTCCCGTGGACGGACCCCAGTCCCGGGCCTCGCGTTTTGGCTCCCCGCGGTCCACCCCGCACGCGACTCCCCACTAACACACCCAGTCGAACTTTTGTGTGCTGCCTGGCAGCCCCTTAGTTTGGTTTTGGTAGATATACGCCTTTGGAAAGACTTAGAAAAAGGCCGATCGTCGTATTTTGAGGCCAAACCCCATCACCCCGGAATGTTGCTTCCCTGCTCTAGAAAGCCGGGACCAACGCGCGTCCTGCCACAGCCCCGGCTCGCAATAGCCCCCGGCTCGCAGCCCAGGAGGAGGGCCGGGGCTCGCGGTGCTGACGGTCAAGGCAGCGACCCCGAAGGCACATTTCACAGTCATACGTGTTTTATTTTGTTTTGATTTTCCTCCCAAACGTGTGCTGGCCTCTTTATTTTTCCTTCCACACCCCGCCTTTGCCGAGAGGACAGCAGGCAAGCTCCCCAGGGGCCGAGGCGCTTGGGTTGTCGAGAAATATCCGGGAAAAGAGTCAGGGTTGTAGAGAGAAGGGAGGACAAGGTGTTTGTGGAGGCAGCGGCGCTGGCTCGGTCTCCCCACCTGGGAGCGGAGAAGAAGGAGGGAAAAAAAAAGCGCTGACTCTTCACAAAGTGAAACTGGGTGCAGACAGCTAACTGCAGCAGACTCCACAAAAAGTGCAGTCTTGAACAGAACAGAACACAGCGGCAGCGAAGGAGCGGAGACAAACCCAGATTAGGCAGAAGGCATCCTAATTTAATTAACTCCCTGGGAGGGCTAAGGCGCGGGGAAGGGGCAGGAACTTTCTTGGCTGCTCCCCTCCACCTGATCAAGCCCCCCCCCAACCCCATCATGATTTTAGGTCTCTTTCTATTAGAGATCTCTGGTTTATATAAAATTCTGTTGTATCTGAGCTGAAATCCAGCGAACATACCCATCCGTCCGTCATTTCACCCAGAAATCAACACAAGGGGCTGTAACTGTTCTTAGATAATTCGGTGTAACACTACTGTTACCAAAACAAACAAACAAACAAACAAAAAAAACCCTGAAGATTCTTTATCAAATTACCAGGGATCCCGTGTTCTCCAGTGTCTTTTGGAAGTTTCGCCAAACTGAAATGAATACGCACAATTCTCCCTTGCTGACAGCCAGTGAAACTAAATTTTACACAATAACGTATAACATGCCTGGGAATTCCATTGAGAACCGATGAAAGAAATGTGGCCTCATCTCCACTGAACCGTTTCTGACTTTTCATGGTTTAACTTTCTCTCCTCGCAAAATTAAAAGTAAGCCAGTGGTCCGAAACTGGCTGGTGGAGAAATGACAGCACAGGACCCGCAGTTAGCGCCTGAAATGGAGTGTGCGCGTAGCCCCAACAAAACGAAAGTACCTTAGACCTCCGCGTTCACTTCAGCGATGGTTTGACACACACCGCTAACGACAGAACAGGAACGTGGGAGCCTAAATCCCTTTAGTTATTTATGGCAGCGGTGTTGGTATGTGTTTAGGGGAGTTCTGCTTGTAAAAGGGTTTCAGAGAGCACACTGGCTTGCTCTTCCTTTGCAAGTAAAAAAAAAAGCAAACTTACTGTTTAAGTGGCAATTTGGGGCGGACAGATAAAGAGTCTGTTTCTACAGTGTAAATTATTGAGAGGGGGAGAGTGGCACTAGGCTCTCTGAAGACAGAATTAAGATTGTGGCCTTTATGGCAAAGTTCACTTGGAGCATTTAGAGTTTTTTAAAAAAAAGAAGGAAAATCATAAATGTTGATAGTCGTTCTGCCAACCAACACTCCATCCTGGCCCTACTGAGTCTCTATGCCTAGGTTTCTGCATTCATTGCCTCTTGTATTTATTTCTAAGAAATCTAGTCTGGGAATATACCCAAATAATAATTTCGGTTTCCTCTCTATGCAGGAGAGAGAGGAGGCTGCTTTTCAACACTAGGGGGGAAATATTTTGACTCCCTGGAAAAATCCTCATTACCCACAGAGAAGGAAATAAAGATGGAATTGATTATTTTTAATTAAAGAGAAAATATCATTGATGTTAGGAGACTATTCCACCCCTACACACACACACACACACACACACACACACACACACACACACACTCCATAGGCGAGGGCCGCAGGCAGGCGGGAGGGTTGCGGCAGAACAAAAGTGAATGGTGATTTGTGTGGCGAGAAAGTTTATTACTAATGGGAGTTTACAGTTTCGGGTGCTTGGCCTGGCTGAGCCCTTCCGACTGTTGCACACCTCTCATTAACTCACAGCCTGAACTGCCAGACCACATACCACCGGGCAGAAGCAGTTAATTAATAAATCTCTTGTCTCCAGACTGTTCCAGAGGTGGGGACCCATGGAAGCAGCTAGGTGCAGCCTTGCCAGAGCACTGTGTCATTAAGCGCAGCCCCCTAAGCCTGCTGGCAGATAGAGCCCCAAGCATCACTCCAAAAAACGCGTCGGGGAAGAACTAGGAGGCCAGAGGGGAGAGCTGGACAGGCCCTCCTACCTTCTTCCTGCCTAGTCCCCAACCTCAGGTGTTTGGGTTTAGCGGTGTCCATGGCCTGCTTGCTTCCTTGGGCCTGTCTATGTTTTTGCTCGAAACCCCTGGCACCTGGGAGGCCACCCTCGGCGGTGCTGGCAGAACCTGCTTATAAAAGGGGGTTGGCTGGCTCTGGGAAACTTTGGGCCCAGTGTGGACGCAGGTGAGGCGCTCCAGGGAACCTGGGCTGCCCGGTGTGGACGCACACAGCAGGCCACACGCACCCCAGGCCTGGCAGTAGGCGCGGACCCCCTGCGCGTCTCCTTCCTACGGCCACCTCCAGAGCGCTCGCCGTCACTCCCACCCCCGGCCTCCTGAGGGTGCAGGATCAGGAAGCAGCCCCCTTATTTTGAGAGCTTGGCGCTCAGTCTAGGAAAAGGGGTTCCGGCCTCAAGAAACGTTCCGGTGTCCTCGCCATCTGGAAGGGATCTTGGTGGGGAGGGGTGGGATGGGAGGAGAAGGCAGCCCCCGAGGGGGAGAAGGGGTGAGTTCAGGCCGAACCCAACCCCCGAGGTGTCACTTTTCTTTCCTGCGGGGGTGCCCGTCACTGCTGATAAATGGGACTAAGGCTAAGGAAGGAAAAGGAAAACCAGCGAGGTCAGAGCGGGGCGAAGCCGGGGCCCTGCTAGGGGCCGGGGAGGACAGAGTGCTCCGGGGTGAGCGCAGGAGAGGCGACCTTAGTCAGGCTTGGGAAGACAGCCACGCACAGGGATCGAACCAGGCCTTCGGGGTCGGATCGGACGCGCGGTGTCCCTGGGAGCTGCCAAGCTTATCCGAGCGACCGCAGCTGGCTCTCCAGCCTTTGGGCCTTGACCTCTCGGTCCTCCTGATTTCCGCTCCTAAGAGTATGCGGGTGACAGGGGTCCAGGCTGGCGCAGCGCCCGAGGGCCCCCTTTCTTTCCCCGGGGCGGAGTCCCCTCTCCCGGGATCGGATCTTCCTACCACCCGCTCGCCAGAGGGCCACTTGCTACCCAGGCTCTGAAGTCCCGAGGGTTTGGAGACCCAGGAGAAGGGGAATTGACGAGATTTGTAATCCCCGCGCGCGTGGTATCTCAAAGACTCAGCGGATAATAATCATGGCGTTTCCCTCTCTCCCCTGGACATTTTTAGGGCTTCCTCGGTGTGCTGCTGCTGCATTTTTCTTCTTCTTCTTTTTTTTTTCTCTCTCTCACGCCCGGAAGACCTGGAAGAAAGGGGCGGCTCCCTGCACCCCACCGGAGCCGTCAGGAAGATGGGGAGCAAGGCCCTGCCAGCGCCCATCCCTCTGCACCCATCGCTGCAGCTCACCAATTACTCCTTCCTGCAGGCAGTGAACACCTTCCCCGCCGCGGTGGACCACCTCCAGGGCCTGTACGGGCTCAGCGCTGTGCAGACAATGCACATGAACCACTGGACGCTGGGCTACCCCAACATGCACGAGATCACCCGCTCCACCATCACGGAGATGGCCGCCGCCCAGGGCCTCATGGACGCTCGCTTCCCCTTCCCGGCGCTGCCCTTCGCCACTCACCTGCTCCACCCCAAGCAGGGGGCCATCGCCCACGTCCTGCCGGCCCTACACAAGGACCGGCCCCGTTTTGACTTTGCCAACTTGGCAGTGGCCGCCACGCAAGAAGATCCCCCTAAAATGGGAGACCTGAGCAAGCTGAGCCCCGGGCTGGGCAGCCCCATCTCGGGCCTCAGTAAATTGACTCCGGACCGAAAGCCCTCCCGAGGGAGGCTACCCTCCAAAACGAAAAAGGAGTTTATCTGCAAGTTTTGCGGCAGACACTTTACCAAATCCTACAACTTGCTTATCCACGAGAGGACCCACACGGACGAGAGGCCGTACACGTGTGACATCTGCCACAAGGCGTTTCGGAGGCAAGATCACCTGCGAGATCACAGGTGAGGCTGGGCAGCTTACTTGCTACGGGAGGGAGGGAAGGTGAATTTCGCCGGTGGAACGTCCTGATGGACATTCCAAGTGTCGCTAAAATCCCCTCTGTGATGGAGTGCGCGTCCAGGTCACCTCCCTAAAGCCTGCACTCTTTGGGGTGAGAAGGGGGCCGTCCTCTGTCCTTTAGCTGGGAAAAAAAATATGGTAGCTTGGCCTTGGCCTAGGACTCAGTAATTCTATTCCCTCCGTACTGAGTGAGGGGTGAAAAGCCGGGGCGGGGGAGGCAGGGGGCGGGCGGAGTCCTTCCAACTGGGTGGGTGGGTGCAGGTTTTGGCTACTGCGGAGCCGTTTTTGGCGAATCTATTGAGCTCCCCCCCCACACACCTCCTCCTGGAGTACCCTAGAAGGTTTCTTATTCTTTGAGGGGGGTCTTGAGGTCACTGTCTTCAGCAACGGTTCCCACCATCCTCATACCCTGGATTAGCGAAGGACGGCGGGTTGAAATGAATTCCCGTGGTAGGGGTTAGGAGGTTTCCCCTAAATGGATCTTGTGACTTCTGGGGTGGAACTTATGAATCCGTCCTCGAGGCTGTGAAGTGATTCTCAAAACCAGCCCCGATCCCACCCAGTCTTGCACTCCGTCTTGATTTGACCAGTTCCAATCCCGGGGAAAAGCCCGGAGGCCTAGAAAGGCTCTCCGGGGCCAGCATTTGGAGCCCCAGAAACAGGCCAGAGAGAGCGGTCAAGTGTAGATAAAGCCAGACCGCCCATGAATGTTTAAAAGAAGTCTGTTAGCTGAGGTTAACTATAAACAGAATTACACAGAAAACCTAGAAACAACACCAATAATAGACACCACCGCGCTTCCTTTGCCCTCTCCGAATTTCGTTGGTGTAATTGTGGAAAGCAAATCCTCAGCCACAGGGGCGATCATTTCAATGGAACCTTGTATTGATTTTCAGGTATATCCATTCCAAAGAAAAGCCCTTCAAATGTCAGGAGTGTGGGAAAGGATTTTGTCAGTCTAGAACTCTAGCAGTCCACAAAACTTTACATATGCAGGTAAGTTCATTTTCTTCCTTTGAAAGCGAATGCTTCATGTTTGCCATTATGGCTTTTAACAACAACAACAAAAAAGTGTTCGAATCAGGGTCTGTTTCTTAAAGCTCCTTTTAGATTAGTTTTCTAGGGAGGGGGGCAACACTCTTTTAAAAATATAAAATTAGTATTACAGAGCAAAGAGTTTCCCCTCAACGAACAGGCCAGCCTATTATTTATAAATAAATCATAATGTTAGTACGACTACTACTACTATTATTATTTTTTCAATCCCATCTGCTCTGCGTTTGAAACTTCCGTGTTTTGGGAGGAAATAAAGGCAATTTTTGACAATGGAGCGGGTGGTGAAATCCCATACACTCTCTTTCCCAGGGGGCCTCGTAATTTGTTGGCGTCCAGGACGTTTTGAAGGAGGAATAGTTTAATTTCCTGCAAGCAGGAGCTTCATCTCCCCGGGAGAATGAGGTTCCTTAAGGGGGGGGATTAGAGCCGTGTCCTCCCCTCCCCCGCGCGCCCCCTTTCCTGCCCTTGTCGTGGCGATGAAATACGTGGCCCACCGAGGTGGTCTTATCAGTGCCATCGGGCCTTCTCGGGCGCGCCTGCACGTGTGCTTCGCGATTGGTGGATTAGGAGCCCAGCTCTGTCCCTGCGGGTCCCCCCCCCCCTTTTGTTGTCGCTCGCCCGCGCGGGCGGGCGCGCGGCTCGTTAGGTTAGCCAGGCTCGGTTCGCAGATAAAGACGGAAGCAGTCGGTTGAGGGGGGTTTGGGTTGCCGGCGGGCCGGGTGGTGGTGTGAAGGATTAATCCTTTGCCTTGCTTCCTTCGCATCCGAACAGGAATCTCCACACAAATGCCCCACTTGTGGAAGAACATTTAATCAGAGAAGTAACCTGAAAACTCACCTTCTCACCCATACAGACATCAAGCCCCACAGCTGCGAGCAGTGCGGCAAAGTGTTCAGGCGAAACTGTGATCTGCGGCGGCACAGCCTGACTCACACCCCGCGGCAGAACTTCTAGCGAAGCCCAGGATCTGCCCTGTGCGGCCCCGCGGCTCCCCCTCTCCTTCCCCCCCTCCCCCGAGACTCCTCTTCCTCCTCTCCACGGGGCCCACCCACACCCGACCCCCACCCTCGCTGACCCCCAGGTCTTCTCCAAGGCTGCAGCCCGCACCTGCAGCTCCAGCGAGTTAAACTGAGGACTGAGAACTCTCTAGAAATCCACACACTCTCCACCCACTCCACCCAACCCCCCCCCATCAACCAGCATGTTCTAGATCCTTGTAGATATTCACGGCTCATTTTAGAGCCCTGTACATACGTGGGTCTTCGTCCTGTTTTTTTTTGTTTTTGTTTTTGTTTTGTTTTGTTTTATCTTGTTGGATGCACCCAGACTTGGAAAATGGAAGCCAAATTTATCTTCAAAGACTGTATTTTCAAAATAAAACTCCTCTTGTCTTCAACGCGCGTCTTGAGATGTGTTCTGCGTGCTAGTCAACTTCTGTTCCTCCACCCCGACCCACCTCCTGCCGGTTCCAGAGGAGTGGACAACTCTTGAAAGATTCAGTGGGAAGATTCTTTTATTCCTGGGTTTAAAAACAGGACTTCCAAGTCTCAATAAAATGTGAGCACTTTTTTTTTGGTACTGTCCATTCTCTTTCTTTCAAATATACAACACTGAATATCCTTGGGGTCTTACCCCTCTTGTTTATTCCAGGTTTAGTAAGCTTATTCCTTCAGGTAAGTATACTGTAGTAACCATTGATGACAGCACACTGTTTGCTGTTAAACCCTTGAAAGGCCTTGATGGCAAGAAGCATACAAGGAAAGGAGCTCCCTGTTCTGGAAGTCCTTGACCCGTTGTCCAAGTTTATGGTGGGCAACTTCTCCTACCATTAGACTTTGAACACCATGATTTCTCACTATAAACACAGACTTTATCCTGCCTTGGGGGGGGCGAGTGTAAAATCCTCCCCCAGCAGAACAGGAAGATGGGGAGGACGGGGGAAGAGGAGGAAGGAGAAAACACTTAACTGTGTTTGCACACAATATTTCTTTCCAAGGGTGGGGATCAATTCTGTCAGAAGGTTAGGATTTCTCCACAAAGCAAAGTGAGTGAGGTCACTGGCCTTGGGAAAATGTCAAGTGTAGGCTACTCCTTGTAGTTGATATGTGATAGCCTGCCAGTCTTTCCCAGGCAGTTCTGCAGCGTTGGGCACTGGGACGGTGGCCATCCTGGAGTTGGTGGGATTTGGGTGGAAGGCTCTGAGTTAAGGTCAATGGCAGAATGGTGCCAAAGGAAAGGAAAATGACCCCGTGTAGAGACCATCCCCTGATCCTGCGGCCCAGTGGCCCAATCAGAGCTCATAAATAGTTTAATACTGAAAAACAGGCTGAGTTGGACAAACTGTATTATTTGGGCAAGGATGGCTTGTTTAACCTTCTGGGGATATCAAGCAACAAGTCCTTTGTTTGATACCTTAGGATCCTCTGGAAAGGTAGGTGGGGATTTGAAAGGTAAGCTTTTGAAATTTCTCACCAGTGCCTGTTTGATACGATTTCCCAAGGGGTTTTCAAAGCATTTTAGAGTCATCTGTCACCCTGTTTTCAAGGGAGCTGGGTGAAAAGTCACCTCCTGATTTCACAGGGGTTCAATTTTCTACAAGTGTCACCCACCTCCCCTGTCTGTATCTAACACAACACAAATGAATTTCCAGAAAGAAGAAAGCTCAGAGGGTGGCTCAGGAATGAAGTGATGGTGGAAGTGGTGGTGGTGGTGGTGGTGGTGCTGTGTGTGTGTGTGTGTGTGTGTGTGTGTGTCTGTGTCTGTGTCTGTGTGTGTCTGTGTCTGTGTCTATGTGTGTTTCTGTGTGTGTGTCTGTGTGTCTCTGTGTGTGTCTCTGTGTATGTGTGTGTGTCTCTGTGTCTGTGTGTGTGTCTGTGTGTGTGTCTGTGTCTGTGTGTGTGTGTGTCTGTGTGTCTGTGTGTGTCTGTGTCTGTGTGTGTGTCTCTGTGTGTGTTTGTGTGTGTGTCTGTGTGTGTCTGTGTCTGTGTGTGTGTCTCTGTGTGTGTTTGTGTGTGTGTCTGTGTGTGTCTGTGTCTGTGTGTGTGTCTGTGTGTGTCTGTGTCTGTGTGTGTGTCTGTGTCTGTGTGTGTCTCTGTGTCTGTGTGTGTCTCTGTGTGTGTCTGTGTGTGTCTGTGTGTCTGTGTGTGTGTCTATGTGTGTGTGTCTCTGTGTGTGTCTCTCTGTGTGTCTGTATGTGTCTGTGTGTGTGTGTGTGTCTGTGTGTGTGTCTGTGTGTGTTTAGAGGAATTAATGGCTGTTTATTTCTTCTGTTTGTACAGAATTAACTCTGTGACCTCTCCTAACCCTTTGCTCTCAAGATTCTGCCTGCCCTGACATGGAAGATTTAAATACTTCAGGGCAGGATTAACATCGACTGTCCCTAAAGACAGCCTCCCCAGCCCACCCCAACCCCCCCACCAATCTTTCAGGCTTTTTCCTTGTAGCCAGACTCACAACCCTACCCACCCCTACATGCTACAAGCGTCACAGTTGTGCAGCACAGAGGTTGGGTAAATTACAAAAGAACGACCCTTGCCCATTACCAAACTGCAAGCATATCCCGGAGGTCCCTACCCTAGATTGATGGACGTGGCCAGCATGCCTGTACTTCCATCTATTCATGTTGGTAAAATAAGACTCATCATTGAAAGAGGAAGCACAGAGAACGCCGTCCGCACACCATTTCAAAAGTCAAGGTCAATTCACACACACAATTTATTTCCTTACTCCCTGATTTAACAAATGTTTGCTGTGGGCTTTTCAGTTGCCAAATCTTGTGACAGTTGCCCCTACTTTTTTTGGTTTCATTTTTGCTATAGTTTTATTTAGAGACAAGGGAGCCTCTCCATTGCAGCTCAAGCTGGCCAAGAACTTACTTTGTAGCCCAGACTGACTTTGATCCATCTACCTCAGTTTCCTGAGTGCTGGCATAACAGGTGTGAGCCCACCCGCCACACCCGACCTGGTTTTCCTTATCTGTCTCTGTCTTGATGCATCTACTGGCACATTATAGGAATCCTGACTTCTCGGCTGGTTTGAGAATCTGTGTGACAGAGCTTAATTTAATAGCTCTTAAATCCAGTGGCCATCGAGGCTCAGACAGGACTACACTTTGTCAGTTGACTCCTCACCATCTTCATGATTCCAGGTGAAATTCTGAATAGTTGCTTTCCTCTCCAAACTCTGAGGGTTTTTTTTTCTCCTCTGCGCTTAAGTATGCAGGAAATGAATCTTGTGTGACACACTCTTCTAAGACATTATAAGGACAAGGCAGATCTTGCGTCTTGGGAAATAGAGCTGCTGGGTCTTTTTTTTTTTTTTTTTGCTTTGTTTTCTTAGTTCAGACTAGAGTCTTTATTTGTGTTTCAGATTAGCCTCTGCTTCCTTACACCCTCTATCATAGTCAACTTATGAATCAATTGCCTTGGCAAAAGACTTGGAGGAGGAAAGATCACCACAGTGCAAGAAAAAAAAATTAATGAACAGCCGTCACAAATGACCATTGAGTTGTGGCGATAATATCACCTGAACATTTCTGAACACTAATTACATTGTAACCAATTGCCTGTGTGGAATTGTGAGGGAGTGCTAGGTGCTTTTATGGGCCCTTAGCCTGAAATGCACTTTATTACCGTAGTGATTGGCAAGGTTATTTTGCTATATATCATCATCGAAGAGGAAAACTTCACAACATCTAACTCCGAGGCAACTACATATTTTAAAGGTCAGCAAAGTCAGAATCTAGAATTATAAGTAGGCCCGAATACCCCTGTTGATGAAATTTTAAAAAATAAATGCCGGGAATTTCTTCAGTTAGTTTGTGAGATGTTAGTAAAGACATTTGAGCTTCGGTTAGTCACCTCTGGCTCAACTCTGGATGAGCAGCAGCCAGCTCCTGGGAGGTGCTTGGGAAACCGAAGACTATGTCACACAGGTGACAACACCTCTAGAATGAACACTATGTGGAAACAACCGGAAAAATCTTAATATGAGATGAGTGTGGAATGGGCTTGCTTTTCTCATTACCATATAATTTTAATATTATCGTGATAAGGAGAGAGAACAAGCCGAGGAAATGGTGGAATGCGTTTCAAACACTTGTGTGTTGCGTGGAGGATTGCTAGGGTTCACACTTACCAGTGTGTTACGGGGAGACTTGTATGTCTCAATTCTCCCCTTCTAACATGCCACTTGACATCCATGGCTACTGCCGATGACAGGGAGGAGCAATAAAGGGGTGTGGAGACGCAGAAATGATTCAGCTCTGGTGACCTGAGATAAGTTCAAGTTCATTCTTGTTTCTTTTCTTCTTTTTATTACTTATTGCCGGCAAACCCCCCCCCACACACACACATACATTACCTTATTATCTAAGCTATGCGACTTGACCTCATTGAAACAGTCCAAAATAAAAACTGGTAGTTAAAAAACAGACAAACAAAAAAAACTGTAAGTAAGCTTAAAATCCCACCCCTCCAAAGAAAAGTTTTTTTATGAAATTTTGCCTTATCGGTGAGGCCGGATTTTTAACGAAAGAAACAGAAAATGTGACTAGTACGGAGTTTCAACAGTAGAGGGTTCCTTTTTCTGTTTGATGTTTCAAGACAGGGTCTAGGGATTTGTAAGTCACTGAACTGACAACACGATCTTGTCAGGCTCAGCTGTTCTCTGTTCTTCCTCCTTTGCTGTGTAGACTGGGGCTCCCTTCACGGCCACAAGATGGCTGCAGCAGCCCCAAGCACCAGCCCATGGTTTCCTCATCAGACAAATCCGGGAGGCAGGAAAAGGATGACCTCTTCCTTGTGTTTCTTTTCAAGAGCTGAGGGTCTCTCACACAACCCACCTGTTGACCCGCCCTGTCTCTCGTCTGGAAAAGCAAGCCGTCTTCCTGCTCCTAAGCCAACCACTAGCAAGAAGACCACCACAGCGCGGATGACGAAGACCACATGAAAATCACGCTTGCCGGTCTTCCTTGGTGCCCAGGAAAGCACAGATAGGGACAGCAGGCGGGCAGGAACAGGAGGCAGGTGTCAGAAATAAAGTTCGAGGGCCCGTGGAGATGCCTCAGCCAGAAAATGGCTCGCCCTGCGAGTTTGAGTTCAAGCCACAGCTTGTAACTTAGAAAGCCTTGTGTGATGGGACCTCACACACAACCTCAGTGCCGCAGAGGCAGGCGCAGGCCTCAAAATATAATACAAGGCTGGCAGCTCCCAAGGAACAGTTTCTGACACTGACCTCTGGCATCCACAATCGCCTGCACATGTATGATTACACACACACACACACACACACACACACACACACACACACACACACACACACACACCACCACCACCGCCACCACCAATAACAATAACAAATGAAGTTCCTGTAATAATCTTATGGTAGGAGCTGCTG